ACTTTCCTTTTTTCTCAGATGCATGATTTTCGAGCCCATTCCTTCACTAAAAATCCAATTATGTCCAATCATTCTGCTCCACTCAGTGATTTAAAAAGCGGACCACCAAGCGCAGCGGACCACCAAGCGCTTAGGTAGTCAAGAAAGCCTAGGTGCATCGCTCAGGCCTAGGTGGCCAAATCAGGTGGGATATCCCTGGGCGCTCGCCTAGGCACCCAGCGCCCAACCCTGGGCACCCCCCCAGGGGCAGAAATGCCCATTGTTGAGGGTATTTTTTGGTCATTTTTTAAATACTAAAAGGGAAAAATACCCATAGATTTTGGAGCCTATTTTAGAGAGAGAAAAACCCAAAAAACTAGTTTTTGATGATTTCCATAGGATCAAAAGGTTTCTCAAAGTTACGACAAATTGATCTAAGCATCACCCATTGATATTAGATTTAGTTTTCTATGTTTTATAAATCTATAAGAGGGTTTTTTAGAAGATTTCGAGTCCTTTGGTAACTTTGGTAATTTGATTTGTAAATTTTAAGTTTTAACTATGTGTGGACTGTGGACTTTCAAACTATGGATAATTGAAAATGGACTTATGGTTATGGAGTATGGAGGAGTGTGTGCTATGTTGACTTGTGTACTATACATTTGATGTGCCCTAAATCCCTAGCTCTTATGTGTTATACAGTTATACTTATATTATTAGACTATAGAAACATTTTTCTTTCTACTGGGCTGGCCAGATTCTAGGCGCCCGCCTAGGCGCTGGGCGGCCTGGACCCCCTGGTCGCCTAGGCGCCACCTAGCGCTTTTTGAAACACTGGCTCCACTCCAACATGCGTATCCAGCGTCCACTATGCCGAATCACCTAGTACTTCTCTTCCTCTTCCTCAACAATATGAATATAAACTTGATATCCATACAGTGTTATTGCCTATGGTCTCTGTAGAATTGAACCCTCCTATCATCACCAATTTTAAGGATAATGGGTTAAGAACTTATGTTGTCATCTCCCTCTAGAATAGTGTTAAAATTAATCATTTACTTCTCATTATGCATTCCACATAAACCCAATCATGGAAAATACTTGATGTGCATCGATGAGGGCAATGTTCAACAAATCCAGCCACTCGGCAGCCTACACGGCCTAAGGCCATACCACCTAGGCACCTCTTAGTCGGACTTCCTAGGCATCTTGCCTTTAGGGTGCCCAAGGCACCGCCAATGCGCTCGCCTTAAGATGGGTGCCTGGGTGGCGCCTTGATGCACCCTGACCAAGGGCAGAGATAGACCCTCGGCCAGCAGCATTTTTAAAATCCCCCCACCCAAAAAAAAGAGGGCCCAAACCCTTATGTGTGTCTTAGAGAGTGAAAAACTCTAAAAAATATAAGAATTTTGGATTTCTATCCAGAACGAAAAAAAAATTCAACATTTTCAAATTTTTGCGAAATCGGAAGATATATTTCCTGATACTCTTTGGAACTTGGAGTGAACACCAAAGAGGACTTTTGTGTGTCCAAAGATCACAGGTTTGGTCAATGGATTACAATATTTGAATTAGGGTTTGGTTTTTTCTTCCTTTGAAAAGGTCAATGGATTACAATATTTGAATTAGGGTTTTGTTTTTTCTTCCTTTGGTGTTCTTGCCATACGAGGGAGAGAGAGAGAGAGAGAGAGAGTTAAGACAAATAATGAGAGAGTTGCAATAGAGGGGACTGACTGGTTCATGTTACAAGGGGCAGGCTAGACCAACATAAGATGGCCAGGTCATTTTTCTACATTGGTTGATCTATGGAAGAGTGAAGAACATGGTCCTCTTGGAGCTTTGCAGCAGGAGAAAAATGCAGGGAAGACAGGAGAATATAAGTGCGTGTAGAAGAAGGGAAGAAAGATAGTTTACAGATAGAAGAGAATTTAGCGAGAGAAGAACCAACACAAGAGAAATAAATTTTATCTCTATTTTTACAATGTTAAATATGGAAGGGCGTTTTTGTCCCAAATGGGGTTGAAAGCTCAATTAGGGGTCCTATGTGAAGGATTGTTGATGTAATTTTCCTAATTTGCTACACTCATCTCATTGATTTGGGTGTAGAACAATTATTCATAACATTAGATAAATTAGGTACCAAGCACTCAATGACCAAGGATGAGATGGTCCAATCTACCATGCCAAATTCCTAATTGAGAGATGTCTTTCATTTGTAAGAGTGATTCAATTCTTCTTGTATAAGCTAAAATCAAGATGGCCTCAAGTGTAACACACCATGTAAATTGAGATATGAAAGCCTCAAGATCACATTGATCACAGACAAAAATTGGTCTCTCTCTCTCCCCTCACCCCACCCCCCCCCGCCCCCCACAAAAAAAAAAAAGTAACTCAATTATCCAACAAGGGAAATGTAGTCAATATCATCCATGGGTTAAGAGACGGAAATGAACTCATGACAGACAAGCTTCACGGTATCGAACTCCTAGTCTCTCCTTGAGTTCACTTTCAAAAAGACAAAAATTAGTTCCCAAGATTACAGTTGTTAACATACAAATACACCTTTCAAGTTTTAACCAGCATTGTAAAACTCGGCCGAGGCCACCTGAACTTGGCCAAGTTACTCAGACTGGGCCCCTTGCCGAGCCAAGTACTTGTGTACAAACTTGGGCGCCATAAAACATGTATTAAAAATACATAAAATCATATATTTTGTAAATTCAATGTATAAATATATTTTATATCTAATTTTGACATTTTTTTATGATCATAATTGAGCTTTTCTTGTCATATGCGCTATTTTTATATTTTCCTTTTTTCGATTTTTTTGAAATGTCCAACTATAAATCAGTTAGTTTTGGATCAATTTTTATACATTTTTTCCATCTTTTCTGAATTTTTAATATTGCTTATAGTTTTTTCCTTTTTAGGAAGTGTTCAATAAATATTGTTTATAGTCCACTTTGCTTTTTATTAATTTTTTATCTTTACGTAATTTCTTGTATTTCTTTCAAAATTTTAGGCCTTTTTCAGGTTTGTACACTACTTGGGCAAGTCTGGGCGTGCCCCAAGTCCCAAGCCTAAGCTGAGCCAAGTATTAAAACCTTAGTTTTAACAAATCAATGTTACATTTGTTAGAAACAGCGAAAAAGGTAATTGGAGAATTGTACTCAATAAAATCATTAACAGGTGCTCAAGCATGAATAGGTGCCAAAACAATCGTTGATTTGTGTCCTCCTTCATCGTGACAACTTGACTATATTTCTTATTAAGTTATTCTTCTAAGAATATTTTTAAAATGTTCAAAGAATGTATTAATGATTATCAAAAAAGAGAAAGGACAATGAATATGTGCTGAACTAGAAAGTAAAGAGAAGATTTTCAAAAGAAAAACAAAAACTGAAGAAAACTGCATTGACAAAATCTGAAAACCAGTAACATAACTAGTATATATGTCAAGTTTCCAACCAACTACCGGTGGCAAACAGGACCTAGAATTGCACTTTGACTGATCCATAGACTAATGGAAATGGCATTATTCCAAGAGCTCAAAAACCTAAGACACCTTAAGAACCAAATAACAAAACAAATTTTTTATTGATCTACAGAAAACATATGCTTTAAATTATATATATGGCTTACAAAAACATATATCTTCCTCATTTCTCACTATACTCAATTTTGATGCTTCACAATTTCACAGTTCCATCATGTCACAACTCTTTCTTCATCCATGCCATAGCAATCAAGCAATTCATAATATAAAAGCTTATTCACATATGCAAATAGATCTAATAGATAAGCATTTTCAATTACATATTTTCGTAACTCTCCACCAGTGATTATCAAATCATTCAACCAAGGTATTAAAGTTCAAAGCCATTTGTAGTAAAGCAAGTTTCCATGCTGGCTTCTGACCAAAAGTAAACTTCCTCTTTACAGTTCAGCTCTTCCCTATTTAACTTCGAAGGTCCAGTCCATGTACTTAACAACATTTAAGCATCTCCATAACCCAAAGAGAAATGTGTTTGCTTAATCAACAAGTATTATCTCTTGAAGGTTTAGAAAACCAGTCCGCATAGTTGAACAATATTAAGGTTCACAGAAAACACCAAGAAGGGATGTGTTTGTTTATTCAACAAAAAAAACAATGCAATACAGATGCTCTCAAAATAATCAAAATTTAATTTAAGATGGAAACCATATCAATGGAACGATCATAATTTTGAAATGTGCTGGCTTCTTTCTAATGTAATCAAGAACACGTCCAGAAAAAACAAGGATATAGCATTATAAAAACCCTAAACTGCACCTAAAAACACCCTAAACTGCACCTAAAAGCCTACTAGAAAGTATAAAAAAACTTACTAATCATTAAAAAATTAACCAGACATACTAGGTCAATAATCTACCAATCAATTCTCGAACCCAGAGCATCTACTGCATCTATTTGACTGCTAATGAGTTCATTCACAAACAAAATAAATGAATGTATCTAAAAACAAAAGAAATACAAAATTTGTAACAAAAACCCTAAGCAAACTCCCAAACATTGCAGAATTTTTAACCTAATAGCATTCCATAACTTTACTACCTCCATTCATAAACCATAAATCCCTATTTTAATGATGAAAGAATCCCATAAACTCTTGCCGTTGAAATAGAACATTGAAACTGTTGAATAAAGAAGCAACACTCAACCAACCACATTATGCGACACATTGTTGGGTTCATACATTCATGGCTTCGATGAATTCGCTTCAGAAATTGGGAAAAAGAGAAGAACCCAACAAAGACTACATTCAAAAGCAATAAATACTCCAGACAAAACGAATAGACATAATTTGCAAAAGAAAGCATGAATTATCCATTGAACCTCTGACAACCAGGAGAGGCGGCATTAAACAAGACATCCAGAATAGTTATTGGAAAAATGCATAAAATTCACATAACGAATCCACATAAATCAGTAAAAAAGCAATAGGAATCGAGATTAAGGCCTCAAGATGTGGAGCTTGTACCTGTAAAACCCATGGGCTTTTGCCTTTATTTTCGACCGTTGGGCGCTGAAATGAAACGGATTTCTTCAGATTTGGGTTCTATTCGGGGCTAGGTAACAAGGGAGGAGAGTCCAAAATTTAAGCCTTGTTTAGAGAGAGAAAGAGAGAAGAGAGGTAAAGGAGAAAATAAGAGACTTGACTTTTGAGAGAGAGAGAGAGAGAGAGAGAGAGAGAGAGAGCAAATGGGGAAAACAAGGGCTTCGAGAGGTAAGAGAGAGAACAATCGTTTCGAATGGGGAGAAAATAATTTATTTATTTTTTCTAACGAAATCGGAGATAGAAGATTAAAAGTCGTATTTTTCTTCTTTTTTTTAACTGCGGATTTGTGTAATTATATGACCCATACTCTCTCTCTCGCTCTCTACACTCTTCCCTCACACTGGCGGCAACGGAACGGTTGTGTGGGAGGTGCCTTTGCATGGATATAGAGACGGAAGGAGAAAAAGATTTTATTAGGGCTTCTTTAAATGAAATTTAATTTTATTTATAATATTTATTATTGTATTTGAAATTGATATATTTATATAAGGAAAGTGTTTATCCAAGGTTGTAACCTTAAAAATGTAGAATTAGAGATGCATTTCAAAATTCCATTGAAAAAGGTTGTTTTAATGTTAAAAAAAACTCTAATTGATCATCCCGATGAGATGAATGAATATAAGAAAAAAAAAAAAAAAATTGAGTCTTCAAAATAATATAACTTGCAATACATTATCTAAATCATCCACTTTTCAGATTTTCGTAGATCTACATGACTTTTACCACTACTGACCAATACATCAAAATATGGTGTTTGTGTAGAGGGTAATTCTACTCTACTCAAAGAGAGAGATGAATGATACAAGGGTAACTTTGCCCCTCCTTGTGGATGTTTTTTCCCTCGTACGTCACTCTATTTAAAAAGTGGGAATAGTGGCCGAGTTGTGCGCAATCCAGTTGGGATGCTGGTTCTCTAGTGGGCTCATTGATTGGGGGGATAAAAACGGGCTCATTGATTGGGGGATAAAAATAAGAAAAAATAGTAATTAGGTTAAAGTTATGGGAAATTATCAAAATATTTTTTTTTTGTTGACAAATATTCGAAAGTTTTATTAATGACTAAATAAAAAAAGATTACATCATAAGAAATCAAAAGAGAAGGCAACGAAGCACCTCCCATGGCCAAATAATCGGCAATGGAGTTTGTTCCTCGGTATACATGATTGAAAGAAACAAAAATAGGTTCAACCAGGTCCATAATTTGCAACCACAATGACCGAAGCTCTCACGGAACCTTCTGTTCCTTATTGCACCACTTAATCACATTTAAAGAATCCCCTTCAATCCACACATTAGTTTTTATATTCTTGTCAATCATAATTTTTACCCCACACAAAATAGCACGCAATTCAACAAAATTAGCTATTTTTACCCCAATCAGACCAGCAAAAGAGAAGACAATAAAATCCGAGGAATCACGCGCAATACCACCAATTCCTGGGTTTCCCAGAGAACTCGCATCAAAATTAAGCTTAATACCACCAACTACAGGTGCTACCCAAAAACACTTTGGTCTAATACGTGTATTCCCAAGGAGAAAGAGATTGCTAAGATTTGTCATGACATCAACTATTGAAATCCCCCATCATTCTTTAGTTACAAACAACCACAACCAAATAGAATGCTTAATTTTGGTTAAAATCTTCTCAAAGGATAAAGAGTTCCCATCAAAAGTTCTTTTATTCCTCTCCTTCCATATTTCCCACAGGATAACCCCTTTAGATATCTTCTATATAACCTTATCAATCGCAGGCAAATGGCCAACAGATAGCTGAGAAACAGTCCCTTCCACCGTTTGAGGGAGTACCAGATGTACCCCAAGGGTGAAAAACAGCCAATACCAGAGACATGCTGTAAAAGGACAATGAATCAACAGATGTGCCCCTGATTGCCCATCTTCTTTACGTAACAAACATACATGAGGCAAAATTATCAAAATATTTATTAGAGATGAAATATTTAACATTTTGTCCTTTGCAACTATTCTATATTTTTTAATAGATATTTTGAAATGAAATCAGAATATATATGTAAAGAGTTAAATTTGATAAATAAGTTTGTTTTGCACTTTGCACGAGGCCAAACCCAAGACCTTCCTGGCAAATTGGGTGTCACAACGTTGGACCAAAGGCAATGTTCACAATTGTTGTTCAATTTGCGTACCTTAACTTGGAGAAATACCATATAGGCCTATTCCCTCTAAAACCCACTAGTTTAAGTAGACACATTGTAGATGAGAAAGATAATCTTTGTAATTTTTTTCTTTTTTGTTTTCCTTTTTTTTTTTTTTTAATGTTCCTAATATAGGGAAATTGATCAAATTACAGAAGAAATTAACTATTTAACACTTTACTCATATCTTTTGATTTTATTTCAAAATACCCATAAAACTATGGCCAAGAGTTGGAATAGTCCTAAATGGGTAACTTATTAAATAGTTTGTCTCATGGGTATATTGATAAATTTCTCTTTATTTCATTTTTGACTAGATCGATTTGGCTGATCCAAATCCCTATCTCTGCCAATCCATATCAAAACAATGGAGGGCCAATCCGTGCTTTAAAACACTATTTGTGCTTGTATATGATTTTGGACAATTTGGTGGTGCAAATATCCTATTTGCATCTCCATGAGGAGTAATTTCATGCAATGAATGTATAGTGATATAATTAAACAATATTCAAAAACCATGTTAGGGTTAATAATATAATTAAACAATATTCAAAAATCATGTTTAGGTCATTTGTTTGACCCCAATTTTTAAATACATACTTTTTTTATTCCAATAAACAATCACAAAAAGAAAAATTGAAAAAACAATATGTTTTTAGCTCAATTGATATAAACCGTCCATTTTAGTAAGATGGTTAGATCTAGACTAACAATGTTGAAAAATAAAAAATAGATTTTAAATTCACAAATGCCTAGATCTTGAACAGTCTAGATTCATTATTGGAGGGGTCTTTGATTTTATTTTTTTTGAAATTGATTATTAAGATGAAGAGTGTTTGTGCAAAATTGAGGGACCTACAAATACCTCAAATATAGTATATAGTTTTCTAGAAGTATTATTTCATTATATTACAATGACTCGATATCATCATGCAATGAAACCATTCATCTTTAATACATGATGGTGACAATTAATTTTGATTAATTTGATCATTACATGTAAAATTGAGTGGCCAAATTTATTCTATTAACCAAGCTCAATGTTCAAAACAAATTTTTTTACCTTTGAGATACTTGAGCTACCGAATTTCACGGCAGATGGTTATAAGTAATTGTGAACTTATACAAGTAAATGGTCCACAATACGTATATATAACGAAAGGTAGGTGGTCTTATTGTATACAATCCGTGTGTGCGTGTGCATACACAGTTTATATATGGCATCAACCTTTTTTTAAACTTTAAACTTCATTACTAGGCGTGTTCATGCCATCTCGAGGCTTAGTTTTGATATGCACCTTACAGTGATTGTTTAAGCATGACGCCTTTTACAAACCTCACCCTACATACAAGTGGAATTTAGGGTAAACCATTTTGAATGGCGTTTAGACCCTGCTTTTTAATTCATCACAAGTCTATCAAATCTGCTCTGTACTTTTCGAGTTGAAAATCATGAGCTTTAGGGCAAAAATGCATCTACAATGATTCAAAATGTGTTTTCAGATGCTAAATTCATCTCCAAATGGATTTTTGGAAGGGACCCAATTTCAATAAAAGCTCATTAAAACTCTTCCCTAATCTTATCAGGGCCCATATGCCCTGGCCAAGTCATATAGCCCAAGTGGCTTCTAGCTCCTCCTATCCTGGTTTATTCAGCATCCCCATCTCACCCCACTCAGTAAAAAGAAAAGAATTAACACAATCTAAATTATATGGGTACTTCAATTTATCCAACGAGTAACACAACTCTCACTTCCACCCGACGATTTCTTGTTCCTAAACTGAATCAGCTCCATGAACAATTGGTCCTCCCCACCTTAAACCATTGCCGTCCCTCATCCTATAAAAATTGAATTTCTCGAATCAGCCTCCTCCGAATTCACAAAACATGGACAAAAATGAAATCATCACAACAGAGGCCTAAAGTCCAAAGAATTTATAGCATCCAAATTGAAACACCAAGCTATGGGCAATAACAATTTTCCACGACAAGCCCTAGGCTTACAGAGTTATAGTCTGTACAAAAGCAGAGGTCCTCAGATCTCCGTAACAGTTATCAATAGCTACATAGGAAGTTCACAAGGTCTTCTATAATTTCATTATTTCATGCCCAAATATGTGAGTTTTATCCTTCAAACCGTAATATATGTGGATTTGGATGTATAGATGGTGAAACTAACAATCTTACAGCCAAGAGACACAAAGTGGAGGATCATGAAGCTTATGCAATGGACCCACTAACCGAGATTTCCCAAAAGGCGCTCTATAGCAGCATGAACATTGCCTGCCGTGGCATTCAATGCCCGAATGTTCTCCTGAATATCAATGAAACCCATCTCTTGAAGCTGAGATAGCTGTGTGGCATAAAGCTGTTCTGGGGGCACTGCAAAAACATCTCAAGTAAGGAGAAACATCGAAAACACAGTGAAAAAAAGCTTTTTTTAAAGAGCAACATTTTAACAGATAGAATAACCTTAAATCTGGTTAAGTTTTTTTGGAGAGCAACACTTAGATTTTAATAGTTAACTGAAAGACACCCCTATAGTATTTTTAGAAAAAAACTGAGAGAAACCCCCAATTTTTGATGGGGGTGAGAAAAGCAAGAAGTTAAATGAGAGAAGTCTCCCCCAAATTGTTTTATTGAGAGAGAGATGCAAGAATTTAACTAAGACAAAGCACCCAATTTTTTGGTTAACACAGATGGACAGACAGATTATATATATATATATATATATATATGA